TTACGGCATTTGGAATTTATTTTTATCACGCAAAGTCCTTCAGACTGAGCTCTCCCTGGTGTGGTATGGTTGGGTCTTACTCAAATTCGTCAACATGTCGAATAACCCTACTCTCTTCTGAAACCTCAAGCCCCCAAATTGCCAGAATGACCACTCCGGGACCTTGCTGGGAGACAGAGGCGTCCATGAGCCACTTGGCTGGTTGGAACTCTGAGCTCGGACTTTATAGCCGTCTCAGGCCTAAGCTACAAGGCCCTGAGAGGCAGATGGCGCAGCAGTGACACGCACGAGCCGCTGGCTGCGTTCAGATCTTGGTTCTGCTGCTTCTTAGTTGTGTGATCTGGAACAAGTTTCTGAACCTCTCTGTGCCTTAACTTATTCCTCTGTAGACATAACAGTACTGACTTCATAGGTTGTTGTAAGGATTAAAAGGATGCATGTAAAGTGCTCAGAACAGTGCCTGGCACTCGGTCAGCGCTCCATCGATGTTGCTGCAATGATTACATCATGACCCTGAGAGGGGCTTTAGTTAAAAGACAGAGATCCTCCCACTAATACAGCTTCAACTCCAACTTACAAAAGGGGCTTCGATTTCTAGTAAACCAATGCTGGACCAGAAAACACTGGCTGCCACCTCCACACAAGGACATCCTCCACCTGCCTTCCCCAAGGTCACACTGGAAATGCTGACTCCTGGGACCTTGCAATTGCCCCAGGGATGGAGACAACTTTCTGTGCTGATCAGAAAAGTCTTCCTAAATGACAGCTGGTGTCAGGCTTTTGTCTGCAGAGCCCGACTGGGTGAGAGGGTCAAAGGCTGTCTCAGTCCCACAAGGGCAGAAAGTTTTATGTGAGCTCTGTATCCATGCCAAGGCCATGTATGATCTGAAGACGCTGCAGAATCCAGCTGGGAGAAGTCTGTACCTGGGAGAGGGGACCACACAGCATCTGGGTGCCCTTTCCTTGGGGACAGGCCAGGAACCACTGCATGTTTTAGGGGAGGAGGCTCTCTGAGGTCTCCACCCTGTGTTCACTGGGTCCACCCTAAGATGTCTGGGATGGCACCAGGCAACCGAGAGAGAAAGTCTCTGAGATGGCCAGTAGTGACACTGCAATGGCCCTATTAATCTTCCCAAAGTTCCACTGTCACATGTATGTCACTGCTTGAAGTGAGGCCACTGGGGCAGCGGTGGGAATCCCCACCACTCCTGCTGAGAACTGCTCCAGATAATTTAGGGGAAAGTGGAGAACTGACAGAGAGGGAACAGAGTTGAGTTAATTATACCAGCCATTGAGGAAGGCAGCTGCAGAAAATGCAAGACAGACACTGAATACGGCCTTCCTTTGAGGAACAAAGGCAAAGAAAATTGGCTCACCAATGAGAATTAAGTGATAACAATGTACTCAACAGAAATCAAAACCAATTCAAAGCCAGCTCACTCAGAAAAATACAGGATCCTGAAGAGTAAAACTGAACTATGGTGAGACCTTTGAAGAGTGAAACATTTACTTTAAAATGCTTTGTAAGCTGATTTGAGCCCTTGTAGAGATGAAACAAATGCACAGCCCAGGGAGATAGCTTCAGCTCGCCTGTGCTTCCCGGTGCAGCAGGCCCCCTGGAAGCCTCCACCAGCCCAGAGGTCGAGGCCAGGAGACAGGGCGGCTCCCAGCCCAGCCCACAGGCCCTCTTGGCGGTTACAGTGTTGCTTTCTTTAGGCTCCCAAAGGCCACCGTTGGAATTTAAGACCTAAATGCAAGTCTCCTGGGTCTAAACAGTTTCAGACTCAGTTGGGCAGTGTTAGACTGACCTTGCTCAGTCTAGGTACCAACCCCAGGGACATCTCCCCATCCACCCTCTCCCTCAACCCCTAGTGACCACCCGGCACATCAGTTTGCTCCAGGAAGAACTCATTTAGGCTCTTTGCTTGCCTTTGGGAGAAGACTGGCAGCCACAGACAAAACTGGCCCAGGTCAAGAATGATGCAGAACTGATAAGGAGAGGGTGTGGATCGCTGTGGGTTCCGGAGGAGACAGGTGGTACACTCAGATGGGGCGGTTGAAAGTTTCACAAAGAGGCTATTTATAAAGGGACTGAGAGTTTACAGAAACCCACAAAGGAAGACACAGCATCCCAGGGCAACAGCTCCTAGTCTTGGCCTAAAGGGGCAGGGGACGCAGCTGGGAGACAGAAGGAAGATGCAGTGAAGTCCCAGCAGCCCAGCACAAAGGTGGGGGGGAGCCGACGGCTGGACCTGACTCTCCTACCCTTGGTCACTTGTTGGTGTCTCTCACCGACCATATTCCAACAAACCCAGAGGCTGAGGGAACCTGTTGCTGGAGTCCCTAGAGACCAGCCTCCCTGGGTGGAGAGCACAGAGCAGGGCAGAGTGGCTCAGGAGAGGCCGATGGAAAATACCCAGCCCAGGGTCACTTCCCAGAGGCCACGGATTCTTGGCCTCCAGCCGACTGCAGCCTTCAGAGGACAGGCCTTCCCTGGCCAATTTCAGGGCTCTGCTTACTGCTGGGAACGCACGTTTGAACAAAGCCTTTCTTCTCCATTCCAACAGCAGGGCTGGAATTTAAAAAGCTTCATTTTCAAGACTTGCTGCTTTTGATTTGTCTAACCTGGAACTTACATTTTGGAGTCAAACAGAATTATTTAAACAAAGCATTTCAGCAATAAGCTCAAATTGTTTTGATTTTTTTCCTTCCCTCCTCCCAACACCACATAACATTCCCCTCGACATGTAAAGGCTTTTCTGTGGCCAACTCTTGAAGCCAAAGCCTTTCTCAGTGTCCGTTTCACTGGGTCTGTTTCTCAGCCCGTGCCTTCCTTGGGGAGTGCTTGGGTGCCGGCCATGGAGGGGCCTGGGGCAGGCTCCTCTGCGAACAGGCTTCCCTCCTCTGAGTCCTGCCTCTGGATTTGGCAGGACCACGTGTTGTCACCCATTCAGTGTTCCTTATTAATTGTATGCACTGTTTTCTTATTGACCCACTCCCACCCCCAACCAGTTTTCCTTTCTTCCCTGATTTAAGCTCTTTTCTGATATCATCTTCTGTCCTCAGCCGAACTTCTCCCCAGCCCCAAGCCTGCACTCCTCTCTTTTATCATATCTCTCTTGCCTTGACTTGTCTGTTATTTTTAAGTTGGAATGTTGATCAGCATTTGCATTCCTTGGAAATAACACCTGCGCTGTGCTGTCCTAGAGAGAGTGTGTCCCTCTGGGTCCCAGCAAGGCCCAGCCCTCCACGCTGAAGTGCAAGATGTCAGGGTGATTGCTACTGATGCCTTGCAGTTGCCCATAGGTTGCCGAAAACCTATCAGAAGAGCTACTCTTTTCACAGCCGTAAAAGCAAATGGAGAAAGCAAGGCCATTTAGCCCCAGACGTTAGAGGTACAACAGTCAGAAAACAGTGAGGGACAGGATCAAAACAAAACGACAGCGGCTGGAAAACATGGCTTGGCGAGGGGTGTTCCACACAAATAAATGAAAAAAATATTAAAGTTCCCTTTAAAAGAGTGAGCTAAGTTTCTATCAAAAGAGTCTACATAAATAAAATGAAGATCTAGGCAGAGGAAAGCTAACTGAACGCATCTGTATGGTAGCAGGATGGTTGGTGCTGGAGTGGGAGAGGTACAGACACACTAAGGGGTTAAAAAATGACTTTACCTTTCACTTAGCACTCAGTCCTGGACCTTTGTTTGAGCTTACTGAGCAGAATCACTCATTTAAGACCACAGAGAAACATGGATAGAAATTTGGATAGTACTCAATTTAACAACAGAATTCTCTGAGATACAAAAGACTGTACCCTGCTCTAAAAGTTAAGAGCATTTTGAAATCAGGGAATGTTCCATTTTCAAGCCCAGTGGAGGGACAGAATCAAAGCCACTGTCGTGGTTGGCTTTTCTGCAAGGAGGCCAGCAGCCAGCCATGCCCTCTGCCAACAGGAACACTAGTGGGGAAGGGAAATCATCTAATGAAGCCGGGCTGGCTTCTCAGCAGGTAAGCAGAACGTGCTCCTCAAAGACTGGCTCACTAAACCTGGAGAGAAGCTGAAAGCTCAGCAGATGGTTTACGGGCTTCTAACAGGACTCGAAGTAATAATCAATCAGTAAGGGAGGAAGACCTTGAAGAAGCTATGTCAACACCAGTTTAAAATAAAGTCTAGCCTGGCTGGCGTGGCTCAGTGGTTGAGCAGCAACCTAGGATCCAGGAGATCACGGTTCCATCCCCGTCAGGGCACATGGACAGGTTGCGGGCTCAATCCCCAGTGGGGGTGGGAGGGTGTGTGTGCAGGAGGCAGCCGATCAATGACTCTCATCATTGATGTTTCTATCTCTCTCTCTCCCTCTCTCTGCAATCAATAAAGACATATTAAAAAATAAAACAAAACAAAACAAAGTCTAGACTATTTAAACTAGATGCACTAAGGCTGTCAGGTGCCCCCAGGGGAAGCACATCGAAGGCACTAGGAAAATGCTGGCAGAACTACTCAGCCAAGGGCAGCATAGGCCAGGGTTATCTTTGACCCATTGAGAAGCACAACAGCATCTTCCAAATGAAGGGCAAGAAGCACATCTACTCCCTTTAGACACTGAGTGGATTTATGTGCAACTAGTACATGCTCAGCTGGCCAGGCGCGGGTCATTCTGGAGGCCTAAATGACAATCCTATTGGGACAGGGGGACTGGAATGAAACTAGGTTACTACTTTATAAAGGTAAGGCCAATGCAAACTGTTTCTTCAGAATTTGTTTGGAAGGCCAAGCGAAGCATCCACTCACTCGGTCTGACCTGGAACGGCAAATTATTCGCCCAGGTGGAAGAAGAAACCCACAATACCAAGAGCAATGACGTATTTCCCTCCAAATCCAGCCTCATGACCTTCCCTAAAGATGTGCACCTCCCTTTGCAGCAGCAGGCCAAGCTCATAATCTGCACAGGAGTTTAGAGGACCTTATGACATTCGCTTCTTGTGAACATAACAATTAATGTGCATGGGTAACAGCTGTCTTTTATTGAGTCAATCAATACATTGGGAATTTAGCAGCAAGTTAATGGCAAGCAGTTACAAAATCTCCTATTTTTCTACATTTAAATTAAGTTGTCTTATGCAATCTATAGCAACCTACAATCACAAGAACGCACGTGAATGGCTGGAGCACTTAGGCTGTTCCACCTATGGTAAGTCTATTAGTCATTTCCTAACAAAGTCTCTAGGTGCACAGGGCACAGCATTGTCAGGAACCTCCGTTACCATATTTGGCTCTCATTTTCCCTATAAATAACTGTGCTGCAATCTAAGAATGTGAAGTAAAACTGAGCAAGTACAGCTACAGCCTTGCTCTGAGGGTATCTGCTCCTCTAAACAACCCTAGAGAATGTCTCGGGTTGATCTCAGCCACAGCCCTGCCATCAGGCCTGCTGGTGGCTGTCCTTTGACACCACACTGCTCGGAGACAACTAGCTTCAATTTTAAACTGGTGCAAACACAGGGCAGGGCTCAGTGGAGCTAAGAGGCTAAAAGCTCGCAAGGTGCTGTCCTTTCCCCTCCTACCCCTCGCTTTAGCCCTGGAAAGAGCAGCTCTGCTTCTGTACTGTTTGGCGTTGGAGGGAACCTTACGGTTTCTTTTTGGTTCTCGGCAGGGCAGTGGATTTAGCAGCGGCTTTGGTTGCTATTCCTTGGCTTGAAGTCACAGAGGATTTCTCCAGCTCTCCCTTGATTCCAGCTCCAAGGGGTCTGCCTGCTATGGAACTTGAAACGCTTGTGTCCCAGTCGTCCACATTTTCCTTCTTACTGGTCACATTAAATTTCTTTTTATAAGCAGTGGGCTAGAAATAAAATGCCTGGATTAATTTTCAGACACAAAGCAACATTCATCAATTCAAAGAAGCAAGGAACTACAAACCCGACCTGGATGTGCAAGCTGAACACTGTCCAGATGGGAGATGCAAACTAACTACACTGTGAAATTGTTATGAAATGCCAGAGAGAGCCCCGCTAGCACCTTCAAGAAAACAAAATTGTTTAGTGTTTGGTGTAGAGCAAACTCAAGGTACAATTTCAGATCCTCTGCCACATGAAATGAAAGAAAAACGTTTGGGAACCTTTGCGCAGGGAGGCCCATTTGGACACAGCTGTACTCAGTTCATCTTCAGATTTCGAGACAAGTTGTGACGTTTGCATGGGTACCCCAACAAGCCCATCGTGACTACTCTCCCTACCCTAGGTACAAGGTTGCTGCCTAGGGCCCCCTCCTCCCGTCCCCACCTTCCCCTCCGCTGACTCCCGGCACTGGCTTCCAGTCCCAGTCACACCGCTCGGACAGGTCTGCAGGCCTCTGGGAGCCTCACTTCCTCACTGTTCTACAGGGAAAACGGTGCCTGCACATTTACTACGTGGGTTCATTAGGGGGATGCATAAGGCAGTGGCCGTGGAAGGACTTCATAGCTTTAAAGCATGACACAAGTAGAACGGATTTTAACAGGCAAGTGTACTTCTCAGGTCACCTCACTCCAAGCAGAGGAAACTGTCTCTGATCCTGTCGCAAGGGAAGCAGTCTATGTTGACCTTAGACCTGTTTTAAAAGTGGTCACTTCTATCCCTGGCCAGTGTTGCTCAGTGGTTGGAGTCCCAGCCAAGGGCACTGAAAGGTCCCGGGTTTGATCCCCGGCCCCATTCAGGGCGTGTGTGGGAGGCAACCCATCGATGTGTCCCTCTGACATCAAGGATTTTCTCTGTCCCCTCTCTCTCTGTCTTTCCCTCTTCCCCCTCCCTTCCCTTCTTTCTGAAAAATCAATGGAAAAAAATATATCCTCAGGTACAGATTAACAACAACAACAACAACAAAGTGTGAGCGCTTCTAATTAAATGGAGCCGAGCGCAGAGCTCTGAAGAGCAGAGGCTGTCTCCGGAGACCGACACTGGCAGGGTGGGGGCGAGACACGGGGGTGACGGAGCAAGCTCCCTGCCACAGAAGGGCCTGGGGAGGGGCATAAGGTCAGCACTCAGGGAAACTGAAGGTTAGCGTACATATGAGCTAATAGCCAGGTTAGCAATTTTCAAAGAAAAGATTACACATAACACAACACAAATAAACCTGGTGTTTCTCTGATCACTCAGGCTCCTGTGATTCAAGTGACCGTGTTTTATACACAGGGGTTGCACTTAATATATATTTGTCCAATGAGTAAATGACCTCCCAGCGCTGCAGCAAAACCACAGGTCATTTAACCATCTTTGGTACCTGTATTTTAGGAAAGAGAAAATTTACCTTCTGTTTGTTTATTGAAGAGAGCCCTGAAATATGTGCCTCTTCAGAACGCCAGTCGTGTGTGACTTTGCAACAGTGTATGCTAATTCCTGAGCTGGTAATTGTGTTCACTGAAAAATTAATTTGTATAAATTTGGAAATGTAAACAGGTCCTTTTCTTCATAGATTTTTTCCCCCAAGAAAATTTCTGGGTTGCTTCTCTGTGTAATCTTTCAAGGAGTAGAAAATACTTAAAGTGCATTAGTATTCAGTCATACAGGTTGTATCCTCTCACTGAAAGCTCCTCTGTTCAGCCATAGGTGAGAGTACAGCACCCAGATGTTCTAGAATCTGGTTGAAGGTAAGTTGCTTTGTCTAGTACAGCCCTGGTCCCCGAGACATGAAGCCTATCATGGAAATTTCATTTCATAAAAATTTAATTCACTTGACATACAAATCCTATTACAAGGTGAATCTAAGTGTAACCCTCTCTCTTCTGACATTTCCACCTCCTGAGTTACCGTCCACGTCGCGGAGGAAATGTTCTCCAGCCTGCCCACCGCAACGAACACTCCAGGGAGCAGGAATACAGACTCCGGCGTCTCCTTCTTCACGCGCTCACGTTCCTACCTGGCCTAATGTTTCCTCTCTTCTTCACACTTCCATTTGTTAGTTAATGTACTTGAGTCATTAAACTAATGCTCTTACCAGCAACATGAGTGCCTGTTTCCTTATTTTGTTTCTAGCCTGGTATTTAATACATGTTAAAACAAATATAGTCAACCATATTTTAATTGAGCTCCAAAACAGGCCTAAAACTGGCTGCACGGAAACAAATCACAATATTTGTTCCTTCGCTCCCTGGTAACATCAATGCAAATCTACTTATCTTTACGCAGCTGTTCACTGTAAATGCTTACAAGCTTCTGTGTATAGGGGTGCATCTTGTGCAATAGCATGTGTGTGTACACTTTCCATTTCNCAGCATGTGTGTGTACACTTCACCATTTCTCTTTGCTAATTTGCAGTGGCCGCATCAAGTTTAGGAAGCAGANTAGCATGTGTGTGTACACTTTCCATTTCTCTTTGCTAATTTGCAGTGGCCGCATCAAGTTTAGGAAGCAGAATCATAAGAGCTTTCCTAGACTGAGTCTGCCCTCTTAAATTTCCCCTCATTGAAACTTCTCCGATGCCAACAAAACACAGACGCAGGCTGGCCCTCGTGCGGCCCTTCAGGCAGAGCTAAAACTTTCTTCACCAACAGCCAAGTCTCTCATCTCCTTGGAACATAAGCAGCCAAGGCAAATTCTAGCTCCCAGGCTCTTCTCTAGAAACATGAATAAATCTTTATTTTTCAGGGATGTAGATTTTAGGTCATAGACGATCTAAATTTTAGGTTTCTCTTTTTCTTTTCTCATAGCTGATGGAATCCCTCGGAGATCTATGCTGTCACTGATATAATCTGTAAGTTTTATGAGCAATAGGCAGAGAAATGAAAAGTGAAACTGCCAAGGCTATAGGAGTCACTAAGATCTTCCAGGTCATGAAAGGCAAACAGAAGGTGATGGACTCCCGTAAGATTGCACAAAGGGGGAGAAAGATGAGAGAGGAGCTTCAATATTCAGTTCTAGAGGGAAAGAGTCTAAATAATCATTATGAGACTGCTGGCCACCACCATCAACCCAAGAAAGAGGGTCTAAAAATCACTGTAGACACTTCTCTGAAGTTACTGGTACACTGCTGCACAGTGACCAAGAAAACCTGGCTATCATCAGCAAGCATCCTCGAAATCAAAGAAAAAATTATCTGTCCTTACATAAAATCACGAAGAAGTCGCACCTGAGACACTGAAACCAACTTGAGCAGAATAAAGAGACCGGGAAGGGTGGAGGTTTCTTTATAAGACAGTTCTTCAGTCTAGAAATATAAAGAACTGGAGGCTCTATAGAGTCACAACCTATAAAACAAAGAAGGGGGAGATTTCAGCGCTGGAGCTGGACAGCATCTCCGGGCGCGGCAGTCCGGCGGGTGGTTACACCAGCGGCTGCCCTGGGCATTTCCACTGTCCCTCCCTTTGGCAGTCTGACCACTTGGGCCTGTTGAAGGACAGTCAGTCCTCCTGGAGGCAGAATGATGGAAAAGGCGACCTAACAAGGTTCCCTTCAGTCCTATCTTGTAGTGCTTCGGCACCCTTGGCCTGACTTCTCCAGCTCACATTACTCATCTTGAAAAGGGGGCATCATGTGTGCAAGAGGAGATATGTAACAAGAAAGCTGGGCTAACTATACAAATTTCATTACTCCCTGGCATGGCTTTAACCTGACGAACTCATCTGGTGGCAGTGGATGCAGAACCCGTAAGCTCTAGGCATATCCCTGAAAGCTAATACCAGCACATGATTACTAGAAACTGTTACCATTCTCTGACTTTTGAGTAAAATATATGCTATTTAAGTAAAGTGGCTTATCACCATAGCAACCACTTCTAGAGCCACACATTCAAATTATAGGCCTGTACAAGGTCCAAGTGACAGAGCATTCTGACACAAGTTTTCGGCTACACCTCTGCTTGCCATGGTCACCCACTTTCTCTCGCATTCCTGTAGCTTTCAGAAGGAAGGAGGAAGGGGAAAAAAAAAAAAGAAGAAAAATTGACTCCCACATATATAGATTTCTTTTATAAGGCGGCTTCCCACATAAAGAGCTGGGTCTTATATGTAGTTAATGAAAATAAAATCTAACTTGCAAATTAGAGAGAGATGTAAACATCTCTCTTTTCTGTTTAATTAAAGTATAATTTACACACAGCAGAATGTACAAATTTCAAGTGTACAGTTTTATGGGTTTTGACAACGCATAGGCCTGTATAACCCGCATGCTAATCGAGAAGCAGAACAACTTCCCGGAAAGTTTCCTAGTCCCACATCCTACTCAGCTCCCTTCCATCCTGGAGCTACAAGTGCTCTGATATTTTTCAACATAAATTACTTTGTTATTTCTAAAACTTCGTATACATCAAATAACATACAGTATGAACTCCTCTGTGCCTGACTTCACATTTTTTAATTGAAATTTTTATTCAGATAATTCCAGATTCTCATAGTACTTTATCATGTTTCTGAGATTCATCCATGAATTATTTTTTTTATTGCCAAGTAACATTTTATTGCATGGATATATCACAATCTGTGTACCCATTCTTCTATTCATGAATATTTGGGCTGTTTCCAGTTTGAGGCTGTTTATATAGAAAGCTGCTATAAACATTTTCTAAAAATCCTTTTTCAAACTTACATTTGGGATTGCTGGGTAAATGATAAGGTAACACTTAATTTTATAAATGACTGCCCAGCTGTATTCCAAAGGAACTGTACCATTTTGCATTCCTACTGGCAATGCAGGAAAATGCCAGTTGCTCCAGTATTTGCTAAAATTTGAACTTTCCAGTCTTTTTAAATTTGACAGTTCTATAGGGTATAGTATTATATCATTGTGGCTTTTCCTGATACCATTTTTATCTTCCTAATAATCTTGCACATTTTTTCATAAGCTTATTGACTATTTATCTTCCTATCTGAAG